GCACACGCTCATTGCATGTTTGGGTGCATGGCGAAGGCGGTGCGCAAGTGTTTGTGTGTGTGTCTGTGTGCATGTGTGCGCGTGTGTGGAGTAGGATGCAGGGAGCCGAGGTGTCATCGAGTGGTGTGATCCTTCAGCTGTGACGGGGGGGGGTGGGGTGAGGGACAACGGAATGTCGCTTCCAACAGCCCAACCAGGGATGGTGCGCCGTTCCTGGGCAGGTAGCTAGCGACGGCTGTCGTGCCCTTTGGTGATGCACTGCAGAGCCCTACAAACACATGCTGCTGCCGATGCCGCTCCGCTGAGGATCCCCCTCCCGCCCCCATCCCCGTCTGCTCCGACCGCCGCCGCTTTCCCCCAGGCCTTCACCCCAGTCATCACGATGTTTGCGCTGTTTGTCGCGCGCCTAGAGACCCCCAACCGCCCCATGATCGCGTCCGTCCTCGTCATCGCCGCGGGCACGGCGCTGGCGGCTTACGGGGAGGTCAACTTCAACGTCTTGGGGGTGGCGATTATGTTTGTGTCCGAGGCGGCCGAGGCTGTACGCTTAGTCATGACGCAATACCTTCTAGTCGGCTTGAAGATGGGGCCGTTCGAGGGGGTGATGTACCTCGCGCCCGCGTGCTTCGTTTGGCTGACGCTCGGTGCCGCGGCGCTGGAGTGGCCGGCGATGCGCGCGGCCGGCGCGATGAGCATCGCGCGCGCCAACTGGGTGCTGTTTATCGCGGCGGCGTGCATGGGCTTTCTGATCAACCTGCTGGCATTCGCCACCATCAAGCTGGCGAGCAGCCTGACGCTCAAGGTACTGGGGACGGTTAAGAACGCGCTGCTCATCTTCGCCGCCATGTTGCTCTGGGGGGAGGTGGTGACGGGGGTGCAGGCCTGGGGTTACGCTCTGTCAACGGTCGCATTTGGGGTGTACACCTGGATCAAGATGAAGCAGATAGCTGCGGGGTAATCCATTCGATCAGTTGTTGCTGTACTACGCACTCGAATTGCGAACGCATTGTTTACTAATTACTATTCTTCCTGTCCTGAATTATCGCGCTTTTAGGCACGTGTGCAGCTGCTGACCTGTTCATGTGTTGAAATGTAACAGTGCCGGCCAGCATGGCGTTGCATGATGCAGGAATGGCCTTGCCTGAGCAGCAGGCAGCACGCAAGCACGGAGGTGGAGTGCAGCAGCAGCCACCGCTGCAACCTTGCTGGCAATGTCTCAGTCAGCCATGAGGGGTCGCACCGCAGGCTGGAGTCCAAAGGGCACCAGCTGTGAGGGCTGTGGTGGCTGGTTCTTCCCAGACTCTTGCCCCTGCTGCATGCACGCGCACCAGCACATCCCAGGCTGCAACCGCCCCGGCTGTGATTGCTTGAATTCGACATCAGCACCGCTGCCAGACCGGCCCCAAGCAAGGAACACATGGTTGTACCCACCGAACCGACCAATGCTGTTACCCAGCCTGAGAAAAGACGACCGACGCACTAGGCTCCAGCGCACTGCTCACGGACGCGCCTGGCCCCGACCGAGCCAAGCCGCTCACGCTCGGGACCGCGGCGCCAGCCGTCACCGCGGCCAGCCCCAGGGATGGGCCGAACATTATGTGGCGCCTCAGCAGAATAAGGTAGGCCATGGCGTCGTCCAAGGGAAGCCCGGTTGCCTCGGGCAGCGCGGCCGCGACGCCCTGAAGTCCCTTGGACCCCGCCAGCCCTGCCGCAACCGACGAGCGCGGGGCGCCCGTCGTCGGCCGGCCGCTCTCCGGGCGCCCCGCCACCCCCTGCGTGCTCCCGCCGCCGTCCGGGGCCGCCGCCGCCCCCGGGCCGCTGTCGCGCGGTGTCGGCGCGGCCGACGCCGTGACTGAGCGGCCGCTGGCCCTGTCCCTGGAAAAGGGGGAGTGCGTTGCCACGGGCCCGCCTGCACGTGGGGCCTCCGCCTGCTGTCCCAGGGGCAGCCCCGAGACCTTGAGCCCTGGCCCAGGCGCGAGTCCCCGCAGCTCGACACCACGCCCCGCGCCTGCAGCAGCGAATGCCGCTGACGGAAGCATGTCCGGGCCCGCGCCGCCACTGACCACTGCACTGCGGATTGTTGCGGCGTCGTGGTGCGGCGGCTGCCGCTCGCACCGCCGGCCGTGGTCGGCCAGGACGCCGCGTGCGACTATTGGCGACGTCACTGCCTGCGTCACCAGTGACGTGTTGCTCAGGGACGCGGCCTGCAAAGAGTTTGGTGTCACGAGGAGAAGGCCTTTTTTCAGTGCTGGTTCAAGGCTGGGGACTCTGGTAAATACCTCGACCGGCCGGCTCAGCCGTGACTGCAGGCCACCCTAAAGTCTGCGTGTGCCTTCCTGGCTCCTGCAGTCCCCAAAGTCATCACCTGCACGCTCAGGGTCGATGGCTTCTCGTTCAGGCTGGCGATCAGCTTGCCTCTCAGCGCCTGCAGCGTCGGTGGATGTGTTGTCAAAGGTCAAAGAGCCTGCAGCGCCCCGGCCCCTCGTGCACCATCTGGGCGCTGCGCCGCCCCGCCCTGAACCGAGGCTCCACATGGCTCCTTGTAGGCCTGCGCCCCAGCGCTCCCCTCACCCTATTGCCGCCCTCGTGCTTGAGCGCCCAGATCTGCTCCACCCCCAGGGTGTCCACGCTGCGCAGTGGCCGGTGGCGCCATGCCGCCAGATTGAAGGGGCCCCTGCACACACGGCAGGCACATGGCAGCACCAGCACGAGTAACACCGCTGGAAGGAGACACCGTGCCACACAGGGCAGGTCGCACTCCAGGCCGCCATGCACTAGATATGACTCATCAAGCAGTTCATCGCAGACTACCACAACACACACGGACACAAATGCTGGCACTTTGGCAGCGCTGCCCTGGTCCACCCCAACTCCCCCTGCCGGCGCGCCGCACGTGCCTGAGCATGGCACCCATCTCAGTGGCAATCACCCCCTCGCGGCCGAGGCGCCCCAGCGCCTCATGCAGCACGCCCTCCAGACACAGGTACAGCGCCTCAAAGAACCGCCTGGCGTGGATTGAACAGCGGGTGGAGGGGGCACTTGCCGGCCCGGTGAGTGTGTTGGGGGTTTGACACACGGTGGATTCAGCTGCACCGCTCAACTTGGTGCTCAAAGAGTAAAGGCACATTTCAGCCGAATGGCGAATTTGGTAGACTGGCTGAGCTTTACCACCACTCCGGCTGTCAATCAGCCAGAGCTTGGTCCTGCTGTGTTTGTGGGGCCGTGCGCAGGGGCGAGGATGCCCAACAGACCTGTCGCGCTGCGGCCTCCTGAAGCTGCTGTAGCGCAGGATGAGCTCGGCGTACGGCTGGCTGAGGCCGCAGCGCTGTGCCGCCTCCTCCTCCCCCAGCTCACGCATGCGCTCAGACAGCAGGTGAGGGTTGTAGCCTGGGGACAGGGTTCGAGTGATGCAGGTGAAATTTCAGCCAGGGTTGGGTGCATGCTCGCATTTGTAGGCAGGTATGCATGGTCGCAGGAGTTGCCTGCTGCACGCACAGACGCCAACACACCAGCAGTGGCTTAATAGCAATTGTGATGCGCTCTCAACAGCGAGTCAACCCCCTGCCACCGTCATGGTGAGCAGGTGTCAAAGTGCGGTGCGCATATCACGCACGCTTGCGTTTGCAGCCTTCCCCGTGCCCATGCTCACCCTCCAAGTGCTGCTGCCGCGCGCGCTCTGTGCACCGCACGAGGCCCTCCCGCTGGAACCTTGCCGCAAACAGCAGCAGCAGCGCGCGGGCGAGGCGGTCAAACAGGGCACCCTCCACGAACTTTGCAAACGCGGGCGTGGCACCAGGGTTGCCCTCCATTGACTTCAGGACCTTGGCCTTCGCACTGGCCAAGCTGAACCTGCGGCGGCCACATGCGATCGACGTACGGTGCCGGACGCTGGGCGCATGCCGCGCACAGGAGCACGCGGCCCCGCAGTCTGGGCAACTTCTGCCTGACTCAGTTGGCTGGTTCCCACAGTGCACATTCCTGTTGAAATCAACGGCACCTGACAAGCGGCTGCCTGACACTCGGTTTTCGCGTCGCTCAATGCTCACTCAAACTCTGGAAGGGCCTGCTGGCGCGCCGTTGCAATGTTGCAAATGCTTCCCGCGATGCTCGCGCGCTTGTGCGCTGCGGCTCCTAGCGCCCCAGCGCCAGAACCTGCGGGCAGGTCTGCCATAGCGCCTATAAAATGATGATCAAACTAATCTATATTTTCAGTATTATTGCTGCTATGCGCGTTGAAGGCTTCGGACAAAATCTCGCAAAACACATGTCATACATCATCGGCGTGCTCCACCGCATGACGATGAGTTAATAGTAATCTGTTGCTGGATTGTTTGCATCGTTGACTGCTTTCCAGCAAAACCGTAGCATTGCAACTTCCAGAGGGCAAGTGCACAGGCAGACATGCAAATGCACGGTACCTGGGGTACCTGGGCGACGCAGGAGCGATGGCAAAGCGGCCGAAGAGCTCAGCGTCGCTCGCTCACCTCACTGCCCTGGTGGTAGCACATGCTGGACGCGGTGTCGCAGGATCGTCACAGCCGATGTAGCGCAGCGAGGAGACACTTGTATTGCTGGACTCACAAGGGGATGCTGTCCATCTCAGCCTGCGCAGCGATTCTGGTGCCACTGGACGTGACCTACTGCAAACTCAGGGCACGGCCCCGCACAGCTAGCTCAGGATCCCCTGGAGCACCTCCCCCTGGCCTCGCCTGAACCCGGCCTAGTTGCAAATGTCCCATCACAGGTCAAAAAATACCAACAATATCCATAGGAAGCCTCCTACTGCCCGCACAAGCCAGCCCAGAAGTTACACAAGGCCTGAGAATGCGGTTGAAACAGTGTGCTCTATGAAGACAACGTGCACTCCTCCAGGCAGATGCCATCGCTTCGTTGGTCCCGTGCCCTTGCTTCCCGTGTTCCCAAATGTTTCTTTGGTCTCGTAACCCCAGAATCCCTGCCATACCATGTGGCAATGCCTTGCGCGCGGCATGCATGGCTGCGCCTGCGAATGCGTCCGCGTGCCCCGGGGTTGTGCGATCAACTGTGCCCCAAGACGTGGTGAGGTGAGAACCTAATTGAGCAGGCGCTGGCGGCCGTCAGCATGCTTGGGCGCCATGATGCCCGCACATCGGTGCACTTGCATCACTGCACATGTCCAACGGGTTTTGATCACCAAATGCAGGCAAGCGCACGACAAGGTGTAGCGCACGAGCCAAAACCGGTGCACCGTGTATTTGAGGTTCATTGCTGGTTTGCAACTGTGCCGCTTCAAGCGCGGTGCCACACGCGCGTTCCGTCCCGCGGCCGCCCTGCACAAATGGCCGAAGCCCCAGGTGAGCAGCAAGAGCGTCAGAAGCCCGCACCATGCGGATCCAAAACTGGACCAAGAACAACCCATACAGGAGGAGTATACAATCCTCGACAGTCAAATTTGCTATTCAAATCTAGTCAAAAACTGGTCAAACGAAGGGGTTTCAGCAGACGGCGATCTAGTCAAAACTGTGCAGCAATTATGTGAGGCTGATCAAAGCGGGGTTTAGCATGTGTGCAAGGTCGGGTGCACGCGCCGTCGCTCAAGCGGCACGGTGTGCCCGGCTGCACACGGTTGCCGGGTGCCTACATGTTGTTCAGCTGCCTAGGCATGCATGCGCAATACAGTGCCGGATCACCAAGATATGAGTGCGGCTCTCCAAACGATAAGCGGCTGGCAAGTTGGCTCGGCCCCCCACAGAGAGGGCCCGCAGCTCGCAGCCAACAGCAGCACGGCGCAGAGCCAGGACGGCGACGCAGGCCATTGCAGGGTAGGCCCCACAGGCAGGCCAGTCATCCCCTGCGTGCACACGCCCCCGCGGCCCGCGGCCGCCACTGCTGGACAGCCTGCGCGCCGGAGCCGCAAGCCACCGGGTCCTGTGTGGGGGCGAGCGCCTGCAACAGACAGTACCGACAATGTGAAAGCTTTTTCGGGCGGTGACGGTGCCGCTCAACCGCATGCACCACCCGCACACGGGGCGGCGGCACCTTGGCCAAGGAAATGCGACACAGCATGTGCGTTGGCCTGCCGCAAGGGGCGTTTGCGGGGCGCATGGGCGCGCCGCGCGCTCGTTCTTCGGATGCCGCGCCGCAGTGCACTCATGCGCTGTCGGCAGCGGCGGAGGCAATAAGTTTGCGCGGCGATGCGCAGCATGGATATGTATACGTGATCTGACAGTACATAAGAAGCATGGTCAAGAGACCTGCAGCATCGGACTGCACGAATCAAGCAGACTACTGTGCAACAAGGGGTGTGGCCCGTGAGTGTGGCAGCAAGGGCGGCGGAGCGCGACCTGATCTCGCGGTTCGAATTCCTTTCAAGGCCGTCACGACGCACGAGCCAGTGCGTGGCGCCAGTGCAGCAGCGCCACAAAGTTTGAGTCACATGCAAAAAGCTGGCGAAAGGGTATGATAGATATGATATGTGGGGTGTCAAGCAAGCAGCATAACTCCAAAAAGCAGCGCCGCGGTGCGCTGCCAGCCCCCGCACACCCAGGTGCTGCACCTGGCTGCAGCCGGGCTGGGTGCTGCGCGCCAGGAACCCCCCACGAGGCGGCTGGTCAGACCGCTTGGCACATTGGGGTGCCGCAGCGCATTCACAAAGCTTGTGCGACGCAATTCTGTCAAACCTGGAGGGCTCAAATCGACGGGGTGCTGGGAAAGTGGATGTGCGCAAGCCCCTATATGCTTCAAGCAGAGACGAGATTGCCGCCAAGACTGGGGGGCATCGCAGGGGTAGGGCAACACCCTGGCTGCGGGCAACCAGCCTGCGCAGACGGCGAAAGTGTGGTTCTGGCTGGCAGCCGCGCTGCAAGCACTCTCTGCCAGGAGGGCAACGACAGGGACTTGGACGTGTATCCCGCAGTGCAAATGCAGACCTGGTCAACTGTTGCAAGAAGCGCCTCAGAGGCTGCGACCGCGGGGACGCGTAGCGAGCAGCGCCAGAGCACCGCAGCCCTGAAACTGCCTGCTGGGGCCCTCGCCGCCGTCAACCGCGCCCAAGCACTTCGGGCGCACCCAAGAGCTGTGGCGTGTGGATTGCGCTCTTCCTCAGCACTTTTTCTTGGCCTTGCTCGTGATGTACTTGCTGCTGCCTGTCGGCCAGTCCTGGGGCCTGAAGCCGGCCGCGCTCTTCTGTGTGGCCCAGGGCCGCACCAGCATGCCCAGCGGCACCACGGGCTTGCCGTTCTCCTTGTTGTGCTCCTAGGGTTGGTGGTGTGAGTGGTAGTGTCAGGATGGGAAAGCGGTCCGGGGTGATTCGACACCAGGTGTGGGGATGATGGGGGTGAACATCTTGGGGAAGCGGGGTCGCGGACAGAGGGCGGGGCGGCATTGCTGCAGACGGTGGAGGAGCCAATGCCCCGACACCCACGGCTACAAGTAGACAAATATGGGGCTGCCGGGCTTCATCTGGGGCGGGCTGGCCGCCTTGGCACTGGTCTGCAGCTGCGGGTGGTGTGAGCGGCGGCCAGGGGCCGAACGGCGGCGGGGCACCTCCCCCTGGCACATAGCGTGTCCACCAAAGCGCCCAGCCGGTGGCCCGCGGCGGAGGGCACGCATTCGTGCCGTGGCGCCTGGGGCCGGCGCTTCGCGTGTGCCCGTCCTTGCCCCATGCCACTGCGCCCCCACCCTGCATCCGCGCCTCCGTAACCAGCGCGGGTGAGAGGCGCCTTGCTTGCCGCTGCCACCTTGTCTGTTTTCACCCATTGCGCGCAGCGCGGGCGCCCCGGTCCCATGTATGCAGTCCTCCACCTTGGTGGGTGCAGAACCCGGCAGCTTTCCACAACCAGTCGCAGTTTTTCCTTCCAAGCGCAGCCTGGCTTCCCTTTTCTTATCCCTCCCTTTCCCCTCTGCAGCCCTCTTTCCTGTGCATCGCCGCTTGCTTGACCTGCCCAACATTCCACAACACTTGGCGGGTTTACAGGTTTACAGCTGATTTTTCCCCGCCTGTCTGCATAACCGTTGACTTTCCTTGACATTGGGATGCGCCGCGGCGCACAACAAACAAACCAACAAGCGGCTGGGTGGTTGGCTCCGCGCCTCCCCGCCCGCCGCAACGAGGGACTGCAGGCGCAAGCGCACGCAAAGCACGGGCGGCGAAACACGCAACGCCTGAGGTTGCAACACTGTACGCATATTGCAGCTTTGCTGCCGTTGAAACGCTTGGTAGTCATTGCCAAGCGTTCAAGTGGATCCACCAGTGTCCCCCCCCCCTAACATACAATGCACAATAACATCATGGGACATGTCAGCAACACCACAATTATCAAAGGCATGGAACGGGCATCAGGAAAGCCTGTCGCGCCGCGGCACGGTGTTGCCGCGGCGAGGCGTGTGTGTTGGTACATATCCTGGAGCCATAGGCACGCAACAGGCGTGCAGTCAAGCGCGCCCTTCAAATGTGGGGGCGCGGGACGGTGGCTCTCCGCCACTTCCAAACATGATGCAGCAACCTTCGTTGAAGCAGGTAGCGTCATGGCGGGCCCCTCTGACGCGAGTCAGCCGCTGCGCTCTGGGCACCAGCGCCAGCAGTGGCCCAGGCACCAGCTATCCAGGCGGCCGCAGTCGCGGCACTCGACGCAGTGAGTGTCGATCGGCGGCAGGCGGCGGTCGCGGTCGCGGTCGCCCCTGCCGGCCGGGTAGATGCGGCGGCAGTTGACCCCGTTGTAGTAGCTCCCGGGGACGGCGCAGGGGCCCAGGGGGTTGTCGGGGGTCATGTCGGGCATGGGCAGGGGCATGCCGCCGCTGGGCTGGGGGGGAGCTGCGAGCAGGGGGCGCCTCGCGGCGGGGTATGCCTCAGATGCCTCAACGTCGGCGGCGGACGCCGCCGGCGGTGCGGCCGTAGTCGGCGCCGGCGGCGGGGCGGTGGGGGCGTCGGCGGCCGTCGCGGCCCGGGGGGCGTCGTCGTGCAGAGCAGCCGGCATGGCGCAGTGTGTGGATGATGCCGGTGGGGCGAGGGCGAGTAGCAGCAGCAGTGCCAGGGCGGCGATTGGGGCGAAGGAGCGGGATTTCGACATACTGTGGATTTAGGTCGAGGCACACCTGAAGGTTGTGGGAAGGCTGGCATAATCTGTCGAGGGAAAGGAGGTGATGTGATGTGATGTGGCTGGGCTGGGTTGACGGCGTCAGGATGGACGCGCGACATGCAGTACACGGTCCTGAGGGTGATGAACGGAGCTTCAGGCCTGCCAACTGCACTTTATTATGTTTCACAGCACCATAATGGCCTTCACAGCTCAGCGGCGTGGCGTACCGGAGATATTGCGGAGGTCAGTTAGCTTCCGTCGATTGGTAAGAAAGCGCGGGAATAGCATATATCAAGATTGAGATATGTGTTGAATAGCTTTCTCATATCATCTCCGCGTGCAGGATTGCCCTCTGTTGAGGTGAGTACAGTAGGCTGCCGGCTCGCTCAGGGGCTCGTGCTCACCACCTCCCTCTTTCGTCGGCCCGGGGCTTCCAACATAGGCCGGTAGGCACCCTGGGCTGATAGCTGTGTTTAAATGCCTGTGCACATGCAGGTACGTGATGATGGTTATGGCGAGCACTACTACTGAGCTGTCTTGACGGCGGAGAACCCGCCGCGGGAATGCAGACATGTGCGCAGCTTTTCTGTGGTGCCGTCCAGCAGCCCCTGATTGAAGCCCCTCTTTGCACGTCAGGCCCTGTCAGTCCGGGGATCGAACTGGGCTGCAACTCAGTCGCTGAGTAACAGTAACAGAGCGGCGCTGGCATCAACGCACGGTCAGTGATTCCGGGGCCCCTAATCAATCGTGGGTACCGGTGTGCAACACACCAGAGAACGGCAGACACAACTCGCGGCAGACATAATCACGGGATGAACGGGAAGGCAAGGGGCTCCGTCACGTCCTCCTGGCCCAGTGATTAAAGGGGCTGCGGCTGGGGTGGCAAGTCCCTTGCCCTTGGCTCTGCCTGCGGCGAGCACTCGGGTGGTACCCGTGCACACACCCATGTTGACGCCAATTTTGCTAAAGAATGAGGCAAGCCGCCACCCGACCAGGCAGACGAGAAGGTGTGAGGCCGTCTCCAGATTTCGGGAGTGCGTGGCAAGGGGCCCAGACGGTGGGCCCCGCCTCAAACCAGTACATGACGCTACGCAAGGTTACGTGTGACACACGCCGCAGATGAGCAGCCCGCGCAGGCTCGGCGGGTTCGAGGCCGCACCCCAGAGAGGGCGCGGCGGTGCGCCGTCCGCGGGCGGACTCTGCTGGCAGCGCGTGATGTGATGTGCTGTCACGCAGGGTCGCGGCGGGGAGTGAGTGCGGAGGGGTCCCGAATTCGGGTAGGCGAGGGTTCCGGGGGTCCGACGGCGCGAAGGGGTCTGCTTTTCAGCGCCTGCGGGTGTGATGCAAAAGGTGTCTGGGGTGCAGAGGGTCGCACGGTGTGCGACTGCGCGTGACTCTAATTTCCTGGGCCGAGCGGCCGATGAACACCGGCTTGCACCGGTGGTGCGGCAACATCCCTGAGTGCTCTCCCTCATGCAAAGGATGTAGTAGGCCTGCAGATCGTGCATGCTGGGTGGTCTGTGCGCGTGAGGGGCGATAATGGGCCGCAAAGCGCGGCGCAGTCAGAACGGCGGCAGGCGCGTGCAGGAATAAGAATAGCAACAGAAGACGCAGCAGGTGCCCGCTGGAGGCCAGGTCGGCACCCCAAAGTGCTGCAGGGGTCTGGTGAAGCGCAAGGCATGCCTAGTCAACGAGGGTCAAAGACGCAGGGTGCCGCGACAGATCACAGCGGACAACCCTGGTGCAACACGTGGAGCCCAGCACTGCATGCGTGATGGGTGTGCAGGCCGCCTGGTCGCGTGAGGAACGGTGGCGCAAAGCTGGGGGTACGAGGTGCACACAGGGCCCGTAACCAACTAATCCAGGCCGCATATATGTCGACCCGCCCTTTCAAAGGATCACTTAGCAGCAGCGATGCGCGTCACCTGCCGCAGCGGCGGCTCCCGGCATCTTTTAGGCATGGCCTCGCCAATTGGCGAGACCGCCCTTTCTGAGTGTGGCTGCGGGCCTGGCCGGCCGGCCCTAGGAGCGGCGCTGAGCCTTGGGGGGCGGCAGCACACAAATTCGGACCCAGCGGACGGCAGTGCTGTTTTTTTAAGCGCCCCCTCAACCGCCTGCGCCCCCTGAGCTGCGGCGGCGGGCGGCCTCAGTCGTGCAGGGACTCGAACCCGAGGCCCTCCTTGGGGCAGCCGGCCTTCTTGGCGGCGCCGATGACGTCACCGATGGGGGTTGACCAGGCGTCAGTGTAGATCTGGCGGAGGTCCCTGATGAGGGGGTAGCGGGGGTTGGCCCCGGTGCACTGGTCGTCGAACGCCTGCTCTGACAGCAGCTCAAGGGAGGCCTGCGG